TTCTCCTTGTGTGTTTATTTGGATTTAAGGCAGACCTATTTGTTAGATTGGCTGAGGTTAAAGGAAAACACCAGTTTGACACCAGTCAAGATGGGCCAGATGTATCCAGAGAGAGGAGCATATACAGCCTCTTCCAACTGAATCATCCCTGTTATGTAACACTGGCCTTAGGATGGGGAGGGTGATAGAGAGAGAAACAGAGCTCAGAAGACTGACCTAGATCAGCAAATGGTGGAGATAAGTACCTGAGGGGAGGGCAGGAGCCAGCCGACTGTTTCTGAGGGGCTGTCAGGGAAGAGGGGATGTACAGAGAAAGATAGGGTAATAAGAAGAAGACAGTAGGAAAAGACAGAAAACAAACAGGAAAACAGGGAGCAAAAGAATGTGATTTTATTGCATAATCATGCGTTTTTTCAGTGGCAGGCTAACAGCCTCATTAGGATCAGATGGACAGTAGCCGCCGCAGCTCTGGCTGAGTTCCAGTGACACAACTAGGCTGGAATGTGGGTCAGTAGGCAGAGAGATGGAGCACTGCGACCAGGGAAAGTTTTCTGCAAGCATTTGTTTGTCTGCGTGTGTGTGGGTGCCCTCCCAAGCAGATGTGTGTATCTGCGTCTCTTCCCGCTTGTGTTTTCCCCATCCTCCTTGACCGTCAGCCACTTAAAAAATAGAATAAAGGGAAGGGTGTGTTGAGTGTTGAGTAAGGCAGGGATGACAGTGTGTCCACTTCTCCTCTCTCCAGCTGACTCTGATTCCCTCCAAGCTTGTAGTCACCCGAAATCTCTTAGCACAACCTGAAGCAAACCTCCCACTTGGGAGATTATTCAATTCCACTACAGCTCATTCTCACACAGAGGATCATAAGGTTATCCTAAGATAAACCTATTTCGCTTCCGCCATATTATATGTCCTATATTCACCCACATGTAGGTCAGAGATAAGCAGCCAGTTCAACCATGCTCTTACAATCACAAACCAGTGCAGTGTTTATGGTCCGTTTCCTCCTCTGCCCCACTGTGTAAACACGCAATGTATACATGCCATACAAACCAGGCCTGTCAGAACACAACCAGTTAACATGGTGGAAATATTGCTCAATGTGCCTGTGTGTCTGTGTGTTTTTTTCTCTTGTAAAGTGCAGAGGTAAGAGATTTATGACAGCGGCAGCTAGGGGTTCTTGACTGTTACGAAAGTTTATCCTCCCACTGTCCAGGAACACAGACATCATATTGTATGTTGCTCAATTAAAAGTTTGTTAAAAGGACAACAAGATTCAGTAACATCTAACAGTGAAGTTGCAGATTACAACCATTTGAATACAGTCTTCCAAGCGTGTTGGAGAAAACTACGGGGGCCGTGAAATAAGTGTTTGGTTTGTCCGTTCTGGGCTACTGTAGAAACATGATGGTTCAACATGGCGGACCCTCTCTAGATACAAATAACACACGGCAATCAGTACTTTCAGGTGAATATACACTAATGAAAATATATGTATGAATATTCTATTCTGTTTTTGTTTTTTCCTCCTAAACCTACTGGACCTTTAAGGTAAGTTGCAGTTATCACACTCACTTTTCAAACTCATTTGACCTCAACGTGGTTTATAAGCAAGAAATGCCAGAGCGACGAGTATAACTGGTAGTGTTTCTTGTCAGGGAAACTTGCCAAAGATAAGAACACGTTCATCTGTTTTATGTTTATAAGTTGAGCTATTGTTCTGAGGTGATGTAAGTATAAGTCAAAGGTAAAAACATACGGAATACACTCTTTGGCAATATAAATATGAATAGATGCATTGCTTACCACACAGGTATGTGATAAAGTGATTTAGGGAGGGTTATTCACAAGCATACATACATTTGTAATTTCAGGGTTGAAGCAGCCTTCCAGGGAACTTTCCGCTCTTATTTCACCCAGTTACACAGCTTTGTCTGTGTCCTGTGTAAATCATGCAATTAGCCCATTAATCATGCTAGCCAACTATTCAATCAAAGGATTTCCCAGGCAGCACTGCGTACTAATGCTGCATGCTTTATTGCATCTAGTTAAGATCTAGCAATTATGTCTTAACAGGTTGCTTTTCTGTAAATGCCATCACACACTCCCTAGTGTCACAGTGAAAACATGTATATGCTCATATAGAAAAGAAAAACATGTATGATATTGCTTTTTACATCAGTGTGTGTGAGAAGGATGTATAAATCAGAGAGAGGCTGCTCTCCTCCCAGCCAAATCATCAATTCTCCACAGTCCCACCCCGAACTCACACATCACACACATTGTGTCCGACCACCAGTAAAGCCATCACATGCCGTCTTGTTACCTGGGAATATGTAGACATCTATAACACAGCCATGAACGGATATCCTCTTACATACCCATTATATTTAGTATAGGGGACAGCAACAGGTTGCAGCTGTTTGGGGCTAAAAGGCTTATTTTATCGTGGAAAATAAATTTAGCCCACAGATGTGAAAGAATAAAACACATATGCTCTAAAAGGAAACGGTATGAACATGTGTGTCACACGTGCTCTTTGGAAGTTGCTCAGTGTGGGCGTAGCATGAACTTGAGAGCTGAAAATCTGGTCAGGCAAGTTAACCGTCACAGCAGAGCATCCTACAGGAAAAAAGATCCTCTAACCTCATTGTTTTCTTGAAGAAAACTCTGTTTTTTGAAACACAGGAGTGGCATAACCACTGTTTAACCACTGTTTATCGTCAACATTAGCACACACACAGCTCCTCATTATAATTTTTGCGTTTTTTTTTTATCTTTTAACACCAACTATACAGTCTGTGAGTTAAGACAATTCTTTTAAAACTCACTGGATGAGGTCAAATAGGTGTTTTGAAAACAAAATGCCTAACATTATTTCAGTTCCTGAAGAAGTGACAACACTGCGATATGATCTTTAACCAAAGACCAGCAATATTATTTGCATCCCCAGAAACACACTGTGGACTAAAAACTTTGCATGTTGGTCTTAGATAGTTGCATTGTCTTGAAATGAGCAGGCAACAACTAACAGTACATCTTCTGGAGAAAGTCTTTGAACCTTGACTACATTATTGAGTTAATGATTGACCTTCTACTCTTGTGCTGCATTACTTCAGTAATTTTGTGCTCAGAAGGTTAACAGGAAATGTATCAAACAGGTTGCTCCTATCAGTTCCAAGACCTGATATCTGATTTTTGCTTTCACTTCCTGAAGTAGTAGAAAGCACAAACAGCAGAGCAGCTGCAGCCGATGTCAATCTAACCAGCACCATTACTATTTACTGTTACTAGGCTTTAAGCTAACTTAGGTTTATACCAGATATGTTGTCTGACTTGTTCTGCAGAAATATTACAGAAAATGTTGCTATTGTGTGGAGATGGGGTCATTTAACTCCTCCTGAGACCAAATGCTGATTTTGTAAAGGAAATGTTAAACTGCGCCAGAAAATAGTGCCCTCAGGGCTGAAAATGGGGCCCAGAAAGTGAACACAGGGAGGTGAAACATCAACCAATCCCAGCCATAACAAAGACCAGTGAGGTGCGAGACGGTTGGAGTTCAGGGTGTGCCTGGCTCGTCTGTCAGGCTGCACTTGAACGAAATGGTTGCTTTGAGATTATTATACAAATGACTGGCACTCACCTCAGTCATCCAGGCCTGCAGAGACATGTCGGTGAGGTCATCCATAGAGAAGCGGCATAAAACAGGAACTCATTTATAAGGTAATATATATGCAAGAAGTTACTACATCATAGGCTTTTGGCTCAGGTTTTTTTGAAGAATTAACTGGCCCGTTCATTCTGTTAAATTGCACCCTTCCTAAATATAGGACAGGGTGTGCACACAACTACCTTCCTGCAAATTCTGAGCTCAGCCAGTGTGAGTGGAAAGTAAAGGTAACCACAGTATATGTTGGTGTAAGAATCTTCCCCACCACTCAGGGACTCTGAACTGAGCCACACTGCAGGTAGCCTCCATCACCAACAGTTTCAGGTTACTGTTTAACATGGATCCCAAGCATATTCTTATCTATCGGCACTAGACCCCTTCACTCTACTCTGATTACACAAGCAGCTCTCTGGGGGACAGCAGCTGCATGTAAGGAGTCTGACCGGCACGCAACGCCCACCAATTACATGGACCACAAAGCAATATAGTGTACAACAAAGGGTAGTAAAAGGCGTGTCAAATAACAAGTACAAGCCTTATGAATGGGACTAGTGTCATCCATCAATTTCAAAAACTCTTTACACTTTTTCCATTTACAGCCGCTTACATGAAGCAGTGTGGCCGACTGCATACCTGTGTGAATAGCTGCACTGGATCCAATAGCAGTTCACACAACCCCTGCCTCCGAAACCCCAGGGAATGTTCTAAAGATACTGATGGCATGTGTGTGTGTGTGTGTGTGAGAGTGTAACCTAGTTCAGAGCCACATCAGGTGCCCGGCGTGCAGCAGCCACTGCAGAGGGGAGGATCCACAATAGTATCACACACACATACTCTTCAAGGGCAAGTCTCAAGGACAAGCTCAGTCTAACCTTCTGTAGACCAGCAGCTGGTGCACAAGACGCCCTCGTTTATACGACAGATACCGCAAAGCAACACCAAAGGGGTGAAGTCAAGCAGTTGGCTCATCTTTTATGATCTGCCCTCATTTACAGCTGATTTGTGTATGATAGTAGGTTGTTTCTGGAGAGGCACTACCCACCACAGCAGCAGCATGCGGTGGAGCTTACCCATGCTTTTGGTGTGAGGTATGATAAATCTGTGTCACTTGTTACTTCCGCCTGAGAACATTCAAATCAAGGGTTCACTTAGGTGCAAGGTTTCTCTGAGTTGCCATGGAAACAAATAGAAGCCAATTGTAGTTTTCAGATGAGCGCAAAACAAAATAGATAGCAAGGTCAAAACTCAGAGTTTTAATATTCATTTTACAGAGGAACTCAGTGCCTTGGCAGTGTGTGGCATATTTGAATAAAAAAAAACCACGGACGTCAGGTTTGTATGCAAATGTGGTATAAAAATTTAATGTTGCTGTTGATGTTAGCATGCTTTAAAAATCAACAAAATCAGGAGAAGCATTGAAATCACAAAGTGACGTGTGAATATAAAGTACAGCAGTGCTACTTATTCTTTTTTTTGCCCATTTTTCCTATTTTCTTAACAAAATAGAGATTCCTCGATGCCTGGTGGCATGTCATAAAGAGGAGCAAAGCTCGTTGACAACTCTTGATTTTGTCTCCTTCACCAGGAGTGATAAGCTATTATTTACAGAACAATTTGTACATCAAACAATCAGTCGTACAGTCCAAACAAACCAGGAACTGACTCATTCACTCATATGTACACAGAAAGGCATTCACACTTCACTCCATTATAAGTGTGCAATGGTGAAATGAAGACATCTCAACCACCTTCCACACACAAACATCCTAAAGGCTACATAGATTCACTATCACACTGGTTCTCTGACAGGTTTTCCCACTTCCCATCACAGCATAACAGGAAATATCTTAGTCATAGCTATAAAATCAATTCTGTTACCCCGTTTATAACTAAAACACTGTGCAAAGAGAAAAAAAGAAAACACAGCACACTAACTGTTCCTCCCCATAGTAGGTTCATTGGCAGTCAATTAATAGGAAGCCCACAGCAATATGAATGTATTCCAAACTAAATTCACAGCTATTTACACGAGGCATGTTGTTATATAAAAACTGTAGCTTTTCAAAAATGACAGGTAACTTGAGAGTAAGAGTTCCTGACTGTGAACGAGGCAGTTTATTTCAAATGCACACATGTCTCAGGAGCGCTTCAGTTCAGATAATCTGCGGAGGAGCTGCTGCTGTCGGGCTTTGAGGCGTTTCTTCTCCTGGAGCTGCCGTTTCTCCTTGGCGTGCAGCTCCACAAGGTACTCTGTTGCATGGGTCAGGATGGCCACCTTTGGGGTCTTGGCTGACTCCAGACCGGGGATCTCATCCCGTAGGGCGAGGAAACGAGACCGGAGGTCATTCCTCCTCTTCCTCTCAAGGAAGTTGTGGTTCCGCCTGCGGTCAGTGTCCTCTGCGTCTGAGTTTTGGGGGGTCTCCGAGGGGGAGGCAGGCTGGGAGAATCGAGCCGAACAACCAGCTTGCTGGCTGGATGCTGTGCAGGTACGCTTGCTTTGAGGCTCTTCCTCAGACTCCTCCTCATCATCATCGTCGTCGTCTTCCTCCTCATCGTGTTCTGGTTCACTGTCTGGGGAGCGGGCGGCATAGTTGTGCTGCTGCCGGTGGACAGACATGTGGAAGCGTTTGGGGCAGGGGTCGGCCCGGACCGTGATGGTCACCGGTTTTCTGACATTCATCAGCCGGACCCGGTTCTGCTTGCTCTCCACAGTGACAACATCAATCTCCTCTTCATCATCTGTGATCACACAGGAAAACAACTCATCAATACACACAGAAAGAAGCATGGTTCAATGCCATTCTTTACTGACTACTTCACAAGCTTCACACATAAGAAAGAGCAGCGTGGAACTGAATCAAAATTTAACTAAACTGACTATAAGGAAGTGAATTCCACCGCCAAAGCAAGTAAATCACTAGTCCTTTATCAGATGTGGGGGGGCAGGGGCTGAGGTGTTAACAGTAACTGGTCATCCATGCCTAAGCTTGCATGAATTCAGGCTTTTGTCACTGAGCACTGAGCATTCATCAACAATTTAAATGAGCAGATCGGCTGGCAGGGGGCACTCCCTAATTTGGGAAATGTGAAAGAGTTTACTCTCACGGTCTGTCGCTGTGTGTGTGTAGTAGATAAATCATCAGGACTCGGTTACCCCGCCCCTCTGCCGCACTCTGATTGTAATGCAGAGCCAGTGGCAGATATTGAAAGGGGGGAAATTCAAGTAAAAGTGACGGGGGCGCGGTTTTTAAAAGACCGCATGGGCATTTTCAGCGAGCATGTGGCGCATCGTCAAAGTGAGAGTAAAAATCCAGCTGTAAAAAAGGTGACTGACTGCTCTGTACTTGATAACCCCTCTGCACCACAGACCACAGTTATGCAACAGCAGCCCAGCTTTCCAAATTACGCATTGTTAGAGGGCAATATAATCCCAAGGCAGGGGCAGGGTGGGGCAACTTAGAGCATGGCTGCTTCCTTACCAGAGGAATCAGAGCGAGACTCGGAGCCAGACGACGCCGGCTTCCTGCAGCTGCTTGCCGGGATGGTGAGAACAGCCGCGGGGTCGACGCAGTCTGTCGCCGACGTGGCGAGCGGGCCACTTGGAGAGACGCACTGCGCCTTGCTCGGTCTCACGGAGATCTGGGCCACCGGGGAGACGACGGTCGGTGCCGCAGCTGACACTCTCCCGTTGACCTTCTCCAGCTGCTTACTGGCTGAGAAACTACTCCACATGCAGTCCTGGATGATGATGGAGCTGAGGTTGCCGAACAGCTCCCCAGTGTCGGGGATGAACTGTCCCTCGCACTCCTCGTCCTGACCCAGGACTTTGGACAGCCAGCTGAGCTTGTCTCCCGGCGAGAGTTGCAGCGCACCGCCGCTCAGAGTCCGGGTGGGAGACATGGGAGGGGTGGGCAGCAGCTCGAACTTTTTCCATATGTCCTCACTTGGTGCGGTCGACTTGTAAAAATCCTCCTCCGTGTCGAAATCGTTAAAAAAATAGTGCTGGTAACAGTCGAACTCCATGTTTCCAGTTAAGTCCTCTAGAGTTTATTCCCAGAAATGATCCAATGACACCAGTGGCCTCTGAAGAACGCCCTGCACAACCTGAGGGGAAATATCACAGCGATTAGCAACGAGCTTTTTAGAGTCATCAGATGTATGATCGCGTATCAAGTATCCATCTAATGGACTATATCACATCCCTCTAACAGCCTGCTTTCTACAAATGGGACCACGTTAATAATTGATTGCATCTTGCGGATGCTCCCTTTGCACTGATGGACTGAACTGTCCAGGCACACAGGGTTATTACATAATCTAGTTATATATATATATATATATATATATTTAAATTAAAGTGCAGCCACAATATTGTAAANNATATAGATACATACATAGGCGTTCAGTATGTTTCAGTGCAAGTTTTTAAAGGGCCGGAAACGGCGTGGGATAACTACAGACTTTGTTTTAAAGGACTATCCTGCGTAAAAGTCATGCATGAGGTTGCGTTTCCTGAAATGTAGACAGCGCTTTGTTCCACAGAGCAGTCATGTGAAGCGGGGAAGAAGAAAAGTAGACTGCTCCACAGTCACAGTGTTACTAACAATCCTAGACAGTCCTCTACTTCCTCGTATGAAACTTCCACATGCAGACTACTAGCGTACAACTACTCACCGGCTCTCCGCAAAATCCCACAGCCAAATTCAGGGCATTGAAAATCCCCTCTGCAGCCAAAGAGCAAAGTGTCCACGGTGCGCGGAGATCAGACGGATAAAAGCGGTCCGAGTTGCTGCTGCTGGATCCACAAGATGCGTGGTGTTTCGACGCAGCGCGTACTTTACGGTTTATTTCTAAGTAGTAAAGCAACAAAATGAAGCCGGGGCTCACTCAAACAACAGGCACAAGGTCCGCCCCACAATGTGTAATAGAAAGCCACACAGTGCGTTTTTCGCGCCAGTGAGATATCCTGTTATAAGGCGATAAAAAAAGTGCAGGGAGGAGCCTCGGAAATATCTGCAGCGGTAGATCCGGGTAAGCCCCTTCGTTTGCATGGGAGGCGGAGGGGGAGGCGCTCAGCCCCGCCCCGTCTACAACACCAATTATGGTCACAATATCTGACATATTTCATCATCAATATTTGTTGCTCTCAGTAGGAGTACAAGGAGAACATGTTTTCTTTTTGTTAGTCATTTCCCTTCAGCTGGGAGATTTTTAATTCCCATCCAAAGGCTCAGCCTCCCATTTTATTCCATTACAGTCTGCTTTGTTCTTCTACTGTTTACATTTATGATGTCTTCTTTGGTTGTTTTAAAGTGCTTTTAACAAATGAAGTTGGATTGGCATTGATGCTACCTACTATCACACAGGGATGTACTGTGAACTGCTGAAATATCAGCAAATGAAATATGAAGCCATGTCATGCTTCATATAGTCCACTTTTACCTGCTGTACAGCAGTGAAAGAGCTCTGTTGCATTAATGCATCAGCCATAAAGATAATATATAAAGGGAGCTGAAACAATTATTCCATCAGAAAATTAGTCTGCAAAGATAAGTCATGCAAATGCTTCTCTTTGTCTTGTGTCATAGTGAACTTAAGATGTTCACCTAGGCTTCAGAAAACTGTGTTCAGCATTTTTCACCTTTTTCTTTTTCATATATCAAACCATTTAGAGATGAATCAAGAAAATAATCACCAGAGTAATCAACCACCACAATGATATATAATAATAAAGTTCCCACAGTGGCCAGTTTCCTCAATAATTACTGCTTTTACTTAAGTACAATTTTAAATGCAGGACTTTTGCTAGTCGTAGAGTATTTTTACATTGCTGTGTTGCTGCTTTTACTTAAATAAGGGATCCGTCTTCCACCACTGGATACCAGCATAATTAACACATGATACTACACACTGAATTCATATTAAACCATAATGGCACAATGCATTTGAGAGTCTACAAAGTAATTAGGTTCAGCCTTTGACACAGCGGTCATGTCCTGTCTGATGTCTTCATTGTTGTCTCTGCATTGAGAGAAGAGTCTGTGAGCCTCATCTTGATGTAAAGCTGGCTCGTCTCAACCATGACACCAAACATTAGTTTTAAGATGATCCTCTTTTCCATAATCCTGCAAAAGACCTTATAAGGCTTCCAAACATCATTTTTCCAACAGCTCGAGCTTTTAAAACCAGTTTGCTTCTGTTGATTCAGGCGGGTGTTTATCTTGATGCAGCTTTTTTTAATCTGTTAATTATTACTGAAAACCATCTGCAGGCACATCACTTTGATAGGAAGACAAAGCCCCATTAAGTTGTTGATTTGCAGTAGAAGTCCTCTAATTTGTATTACAAAAGATAGGAATTCAATGCTAATAGTCCTTTATTTCCATGTCCAGCATCTTGGCACAGACAAAGTATATACAGTAGCTAAAAGGTGTATTCTGTTCCAAGCTACAAAACATTTCCACAGTGAAGGGTGGAGTGCATCTTTGAATGACCTCCATTTTAACACAAAAGAACACAACCAGTACACAAACAATCAGGATTCAACTGCTGAAACGTCTGCAGGTACTGCGGACGTGAGTAATCTTCTTTACAGTGGGAGAAGTTAATGTCTAAAACAAACACGACTATATTTGGTCTTAAATTCGTCTTTATAGCCCACAAAAAACAGATCTGCCCGAGAAGAAAAGGACCACCCTTATAAAACCTGAGTGCTCTCAATGACCTTTAATTATTTTAACACAAACCATGATATCACCATATTGAACCAGGCAGTGATTAAGTAGACACATGATTTGTCTATATGTCGTCTTGCATGAACAAATGCTCTATGCTCACGGGCCAGCAAGAGGTCAAAGTTCCCCAACGTCTCATGACCAGACAGCGGCAGGTCAAAATCATACACCCCCCGCGGCCTCAGCCTCCTCCTGTCTAACATATTGATCAGTTTGGTGCATAGCGTGCCTGTCTTAATTAAGCATATCAGTGCACGAAACCTCCAGTATCTCTGGTCCTATTCACTGATTACTGATGGACATCTGTTGTCAGCGAACGCCCTGAGGTCAAACACATTCCCTTGATTGTGTGGCCTCTTCAATAGGTTCAAGTGATCTGAAGGCAGTTTCAGTCGGTATCGCACCAGACACAGACGAGAATCACAAATCTGGTGTTTTAAAGACTCGACTTGACAAAGTTTTAAAGACTTGACTGACTTGTGGTTCATTTGGACTTTAGCCCTTTTACTTAGAACTTGATATTCTGCCCAAAGCCAATAAACAGTGTGGTGCAGGGTAATCAAGACGACATTTTCCTGACAACAGATATACTTTGAATCCACAGCAGCCAATCATGTTGCATGAGCAGAAGGAAAAGGTGTGTTTGGCCGTTTACACCAGCAGACACGCAAAACTACCTGTTTAGGACTTCAAAACAAGATCTGACAAAAGTTTCACCATGACGTCCAAATAATATATTGTTTAGGGACTATTGCTCATATTGCAAGACCTCAGTTGCCATGAACTTAAAAACTTTTAAAAAACTTTTAATCTCAATTGAAACACAAAGTTTAAGACTTGGACTTGATTTAGGATTTACCAATCTTCATTTAGGTGTAACTTTGGCTTAACTTCTGTAACTTCACTGGCCAAATCTGCTGTAGGATGGTAATTGTTCTACAGATGGTTGTAAGTCTGTTTATCTGTGATAACTTGTAGCTCTGTAGGCATGAAGTGAATGGAGTATTGATTATTTTTGACATTAGTTTAGATATTTTTGGAAACCTTATACATTTTAACCAGCCATTGTCTGCACTCTATTGTACCCTGTGACAATTGTTTGATCCTGTTGATTTTGTTGCAGTGATGTTTTAATGTTGCCCTCTTGGCCCCAACAGAGTTGAGCTTCTCTTGAAAAAGCGACTGTAATCTCAGTGAGACATTTACATGCTTAAATAAATGACACAATGTATGCAAAACGGTTTAAATTTGAAAACATTACATATAAAACGAGTTGAACATTTTCAAAAAGAGACATATTTTAGCTAACTTAAAACTTTACCATTGTGATTTAGGAGTTATTTTCGCACAAAGCAATGATCATAGCCTGTAGATCCTGTAACTTCACATCCCATAATTACACAGTGGACCAACCCTCAGTCTGCTATGTTGAGAATATTTCATCCCTGCCAAAGAGAAAAAGAAAAAAATTTTGCTCCCATAAAATTCAGATGAGGTCCTCCTCCTCCCCCTCCTCCTCCTCATCTTCCTCCTCCTCTCCCCTGTTCCTTCATTAAATCTTGAAGATCTTTTTTTCCACAGGGACATTGTTGGAGTAACAATGCTTAACACCAACAATAGCCAGCTCCCCAAGTCATCTCCCAACTTAACTTCAAGTACCCGCCATTGTCCTTTATTGTTATAGTAGCATATGTGTGAGGATGGTAAAAAAGGGGTGCAGGGGGGTCGGGATCTACCTCAGCAGAGTCCTTATGTAGTCTGTAACACCAACTCAGTCGCCTGAAGAATATTGGACACAATGCAGTGTAGGAATTTGGATAGTTTTTCAGGGACTGTCTGTAGAATTATTCCTATGTGCTATACAAGAGCTCATCCTCCTTTTCCCCACGACCTCAATGACACAGGAACTCCCTAACCCCTGACCTTCCCCACCCATCTAAAATCTGCAGCAGGTTTAAAAGTGGGACCAGTGACCCGGAGCGCAGAGAAAAGCCATGCAGATGAGAAAGACAACATAAATAATTCACACAAGTGTTATTGCCCCTCAGGGATGTAAAACACCATATTCTGACACCCCCCCAAGACACCATGAGAGTGTGATCAGCAGGGTGCCCAAGCTTTACAGTTTTCACATACCGAAGATTTATATCTGTGAATGCATGCAATACTTAAATCTTTAACAGCTGATGTTATCGCTTATCTTTTCACTTCCTCCTCAGCAAAGTGGAAATATTATTAGATATGAGTACAGTCTAAGTTCCTGACCTACAATAAATTAGAAATTAATATTAATATTTAAATGGAAACTACATCCCTGAGTTCATGATTTAAAAAAGGACATACTCATGCAGTAAACACTAAATGTTTGCTAATAGTAGTAATGATAATCTGACTGCATTGCACCTCAAAGCAAACTGAGAATAACGCGTTAGGGACATACTTTATAAAGTTTAAAAGGAGTGGGTACTTTATGTGAAGTACTATGATTGTAACAATTCAAGAGCCACATCCCTGGCTTGGTTACTGAGTGCAACTGCTACCTCACTGCAGCACATAGGGCTGAGTTAGGCTGCCACCTGGTGTTTGATATATGTAAATAACTCATTTAAGAGCTGATTTATTTACTCACATGTGAGGAATAGCTCAGTGGTAGAGGAAGTGTTCAGATTCTTTACTTAAAGATAACCCCCAGACATGTATTAAGACATATATAAAGATAATCTTATTGGAACAAATAAAAAACAAATGTTTCCACATTAAAATCCTTAAAAAGGCATCTACTTCTACCTTATAAAAATTACAGAATATATGAATATGCACATTTTTCTTAAGTTCTGCTGCTGGACACAAGATGTCTCCTACTTCACTTTAAGTCATTCTTAAACTATTTTATGATTGTCACAAATCATGCTCATAGGGCCCCGCCCCTTAAAATCAGATTTTCATTGAGCACAGAGAAACTTTCCACTTTCAGCAGATGAATGTAAAATCGTCCTTCTAGTGTCAAACTCTGGCACATACATCATTCTGCACAATGAAGCTCAAAACATCGCAACTGTAGGAACAAGAAGACAAACATATTTCTGTGGAATAACTCCATAATAAGTAAATATCTTGCATTCAGAATAAGAAATAAAGTACTCATTATGCAGAACAAAAGCCCCTCTGAGTGTTATTATCATGACTCATATGATTGTGTATCAGTAGGTATAGGTTTATAAGGGAACAAACTAGTTTAGTTTTTAGCTTCCACATATAAACTCAGATCTACAGTACTACACTTGATTGAGAGACTCTTCCCACATTTTTCTGCTTGATATGTTTTAATGTTTTATATTGCTTTTTTATAACATTTAACATAGGACACCCTAGAAAGCTGCACTGTTGCAGAGGATCTCTACAAATGGTATAGAGGATTATTCTGGTGAAACAAAGCAAAGCAACTCTGGTTGCAAGATGATTAACAAGATTCAAATTAGGATAAATAAATTCTGTTATGCAAATTATGTTTAATTTTTCTGACTTTTTTTATTGTGAATGTAGCAAGTCTCGCTACTACCGAGGGTTCTCTCAGCACACGGACCAACAACAGAGCTTAGTAAACAAGACAACTTTATTTCCTTATCAGCTGTACACACTATTAATACAACTTAGCCCGATTCAAAGTCCATCAAGGCTTGCTCTGCTTGTCTCTTCTGTGTGTGTCAGCCTCCAGGTCCAGCACACTACTGCCTTCCCAGAGGTGAGTGTGATTAGTCAATGAGTACCAGCTGAGATAATCACCTCACCTGGTGCTGCTCTCACAAGCCTTCCCCACACCTCTCTCTCCTGCCGCTGAGTGCAAACCAAACCCACCTCCACAGTGAAATACTGAATAGTTTGGTCTCTTCAGGCCTCTGAGAAGAAAACATCACTTTTGTTGAACTGTTCCTGACTCATAGACATATGCAACCTCAGGTGAGGGGTCATGAATAGACACTGTGCCACTTTAAAGGGTCATAATTCAAAATAGTATGAATTCCTGGGATAAAAACTGATGACATGTAGTAGACTAGCAGAATTTTAAAATAACAATACGTTATTTACAGTTTATTGTAAATATTAAATATCTTAAGGCTGTTAAGGGAGACAATTTGTATACTGTTGCAGACAAAGAAATAGAGAATATTAGTATTATATTATAATAGGTTTCTAGAGTCTCATAGATATTCCTGATTTTTACACCTTCAGGACTTTGTAATGTTACATTGATGTCCAGTAGATGGCGCCACGATGAAAGTTTTACCCTGTACGGCCTGTAGTGGTGGAAAGTAACATTTAAAAGTAAAGTACATTTACTCAAGTACTATACTTAATTGCATGGTACTTTACTGGAGTATTTCTGTGTTATGATACTTATATCATAATAGTATAATTCTACACTACTTTTCAGATTGTAGTTTTTACACTCCATCTAGACAGCTACAGGTATTACTTACTTTACAGATTAGACTAAAAACACATTGTGTGGCTTATTAAATATATCAAGAAGTTATAAAACATTAGCAGCACCTCAATAATGTCCCAAACCATCAATATTTGCAGGACAGACTTGTTCTTTCTGTTGCTTCCAGCAGTTCAGTTGTGTTCAGAGCATTGAACACACACACTAATGCACGTTGGAATACAGGACTTTCTTTTGAACTGGGGTAATTTGTTTGTTTGTAAATATAATTTTGGGGCTTTTATTGCCTTTATTTGATAGCAGCTGAAGAGTGACAGGAAAAGCGAGAAGGGTTGTGGTATGCCGCAAATGGCCGCAGGTTGGAATCGAACCTGTGCCGCTGCAGTAAGGGCTCAGCCTAGCATTGTACTGCAATATACATTTGCATTTTTACTTGTGACCAGTGTTTATTCAGGGAAATTGATAATGGTAACTGCTAAAACACTGTTTAATAATAGCACAAGCAGAGAAGAATTAGACACCATAAGCTATAGTAAGTAAGTCTGTAGCAGTGAAACCTCAGAGTGTGCTGAAGTGAACAAGGGTGTGTTTTATTGCTTATGAAGTCAGCTTTCATGTGTAAGAGAAATATTCTTTTGAAATACATATTGATTTAAGTTGAATCTCTTGTCAATAAAGATTTAAGTGAAAAAACATCACATGTCCGGGATGATCTGCAAATATAAATTCATAAACTATCCTATCTTTGCAGTTTGCTGCGTCAATATTATTGCAGTAATGTAAAAAGCAAAAAAGCAAAGTTGTTGGTATCTCCTATGTGATGTTTGCCTATTTGACTCAATCCAAACATCTCCAGAGAAAGAGGAAAACAAATAAAGTGGTTATTTGCACAAGTTATTTCTACTTTACACAATAAATACAGTTAGGTTAGTTTCACAGACATCCAATTAACAGTGTTTTTGTGTTAAATCACCCTACTTAACTTAAAATGACTATACTAACTAATAATAATAATAATAATAATAATAATAATGATAATGATAATAATAATAATAATAATAATACATTCTCAAAGAAAAAAAACTCAGACACTTCACATAATTTAAAAAAGGAAAGGAAAAAAATATATATCTACAGCACTCAACACCAATAAATCAAAGATTAAAATCAAACTAACTTAAATGAATATCACCATGTACTGAAAGTCAAAGTTATGGAGATTGTTTTGTGGGTGTGATGTGATTAAACTTAAAAGGAAGAAAAGCTCCAGTGAAACAGTCGTTGTTAATGAAAACTGTATAAGAAGTGAGAATGTTAGACAAAAGACATGAAACTGTCCAGAAGTTAAAATACAGGAATAAAATACATGAAATGGAAGCAGGCAAAACAGCTTGTGGCTGAGATGGTTGGGGTCTCTGATGATTCTGCACTGCTGGGTGGATGGCAGCTACATCCTCTGGTGATGTGCTGAGCAGTTCTCCCCCTCCGTAATGCCATAGAGGGTGGTGCAACTTCCATACCATGAAATCAGGAAACTGTCTAACATGCGCCTGTAGAAATTGCACCACCCTCAATGTATCCTGGAGTCCATCTTAAACATACCATCAAACTAGATTTTAACTTCAAAAATAAATAATTATTTTGAGCCTACAGAATCTGTACTATTAGATTGGAAGATTTTACAAGTTAGGCTACTACACTTTCACTTTCAAAATACTGATCTGAAGTACTCACTCAGTCATTTACATAAAGCGTAAATGTGGACAAATCTGCAGGATTAAGATGTTTTAGGTTATTTTATGTCATAAGACCAGCTAAAATCCCGATACCCCCCTCAAGCCAACCAAGCATTGTTTCAGCTGGGTACGAAGAGGGGGAAACCAGAGCGTGATATTAATAAACCCACAGTGTCTGTCTACACGCTAGAAGGAATATTTCTTAGTGTCTTTTGAGAACAATGTCTGTCTGTGATCAGTCCAGTTTGGTATCAGAAAGTCATAAACATGAGTCACACTTCTTCTGGATTTCCCCTCGTCTTTATTTTTCAACTTCAAGTGACTTTTGAATTCACTCTCTGTTTCACGATGATACACTAACACAGAGATTCGAAAGCTTTCCTCCCACAGTCGAGTTTGAATAGAAACAACAGTATGTGGCAGGTTTGTCCAATGTGTCACTGTGGAAAGGCAGTACAGAAACTCAGCCAATGGGTGGCATCAGATTTTAAAGTGTGATTAGCAGTGCTGTTGAGAGGTCAAAAAGAGATATCCGATTAAATATGAGGGGGAGGAAGAAGGGGCACGTTTTCTTTCAACAGTTTTATCTTCCCTCTCCTCGTTTGATGTGTGTGTGCAAATAGAGACAGGGCGTGTGTTTGTTTATATTTAGATGTGCAACTACTGATACCGACTCTTATAGTGACACTGGAGACTGCAGCAAAACCCTCTACAGCAGTGGTTCTCAACCAGGGGGTCAGGACCCACAAAGGGGTCGCAAGGTAATTTCCGGGGGTCACCAAATGGTTGCAGAGACAGTGTCTCCCTTTAATGACATCCAGGAGACAAGAACTCAAAAACACTATAGGCTATACTATTATTGTGATTGCATCCCTGAAGGTGATCTGGAGAAACTAGTGCATGCATGCATCTGAGAGCAATCACACAGCTGCAGGGGATCCAGAAAGCTGTAGGCGTTGTTCTCTCCAACTGTTTGTGTCCTCACAAACACACTGGCTGTTCCTAGAGTCAAAACAAAGCGTGGAGAAGCTGACCTTTAGTTTCTATGCTGCTCAAATGTGGGACAAAGGACTTGCTGAATACTTTCAAACCCAAGCTAAAGACCTAACTGTTTACCAGCTTTTAACTAATGCAATCTTTAAATTTTAAACGTTTGTTTTTTTATCCCATGTGCTTTTACTTACTTGCTTTTATTGTTTTAATTGTTTGTTTCTTGTTGGTTTTTTTTTTGTGATTTTTGTTGTAAACTCTGTAAGGCAATACAAATACACTTCCCTTGCCCTCGCTTTGCCTACATTCATTTAAAATAAACAAAACACATCATCAGTAGTTACATATCGCAAATAAATAAATAATAAAAACAATAAAACAACAACAACAACATAAACAAACCGTTGGAAGCACTCGACACGAAGAAACATTCGATTGTCTCGTCATCAGAATGACGTCACCGCAGGCGTAAGTGAATGAATGAGCCTCGAGTGAGCGCGCTCAGAGGGACACAGTGATAATGCAGCGAGGAGGATTTTCTTCATTACTCTGACTCACATTGCTGATATCTGAAGAGAAAATCAATATTCTTCATCGTCTCGGTAGGCACAATGGCACGAGGAGAGGGCGTCGAGCAGTACGCGACGAGTTTACTGTCAGTGAAATCTTTAAATACAGAGGTCAAGACAGCAAAGGTAAGAGCGAGGACCCGTATGTCTCATTTATTTGGGGTTGTTTAAACGTGTTGAAAGGGTTTGTTCCCCCGGCTGTTCGGGAGCGTAAAAGGCGCCTAATTTGAAGGTAACGTTTGAGAGAATTGCGGTCGTAACGTACTTCCTTAAACCTTTTTATGCTCCCCCTCCACCCGGATTTGAATTTCACCCGGTTTGCCCACCTGCTCTCGGGCAGCTGCTGGTGAGGCTGACATGCCGGCTTTAAAGGGACCACGTCTCTTCGCTGAACTTCTCCATCTCGATATGTAACGTTAGATTTAATCTGCGACAAAGGTCTTGTCAAATGAAGCCTCAGTGATGACAGACGTGCTGCGCAGAAGTGAGGTTGGGCACTACTGCTCCAGAGCTGCGTGATACACGATGCGGGATTCATTTAGTTTGAGAGTCTAAAATTAAATGTATTTTCGGCATTGGCATTTGTACTGTTAAAAGAATCATTAACAAACAGTTTATGAGCAGACTTATGTGCATTAAATCAGCCTTAAAGGACTAAAAACTGGCAACTGCATGTGTCTACTCACCCCGAGATAATGTGTTGGTATTTATATGAAAAGGTGTGACATCTACATATAGCTCACCTTTACAGACTGGTTAGACCAATCAATCTAAGCTCTGCAAAACTAGTTTTAAAGCCTGATTCATCTAGAATGAAATAACTGTCAGCTGTGGGCTTATTCAATAAGAAATCATTTCATCTAATGTCTCCAAGTTGCCTGTAATTTAATCCTTGAATCCACAATCTTTGCGTAGTTTGGACCCCACTGAGGCTGTCTGCCCGCCCCTGTATTATACACCGAACAGGATTTTCCTCACCAGTCATCAAAGGTTGCCTACAGGCTGTATTCCTTCACGCTTTTAGCTCTATTTTTAGTTTCACATAGTAATTTAAGCCAGCGTGGACTTCACATGATCAAGGATTTGACGTGAGAGAATATTATTAATTCCTCATCAGGCAGCAGTTTGCTCACAACATGAGGTGATGCTGCTTTAGTGTCTGTGGTGGATGTGACTCAGGGTGTACGGACCCCCGTGCTGACATCATC